TACTTCCAAAGCCATTATTTCAGAGATATCAGGGTGTGATTTCCAGTTTCCTCAGTGCTAGTGTCTTCTGCATTTGTACTGGGTGGACTTGGGGCCTGAGACTGCATTTTGTTCCTTCTCTTTGTCATTTTGTATACCTCTGTCTTCTGACCTTTGGTGTAGAGCTTAGATGGAGTTATTACCTTAGCACCAGGTCCAGATCTCCGAAGTTCAGATTCCACCAGGTGGGTGTTGCTTGGTTCTGGCTGGGGTCTGGCTGCTGTGTTCCACTTCTTCCTGTTGCAGCCCTTGGAGCTGAACCCTCTGTGTCACTCTGGCAAGATGTTCTCCTTAATCAGCTGGGTGGGTCTTGCCTCTAGCCTCTTTGCAGGGAGTTCTGCTGAAGGGTTCCACGATGGGCCTGCACTGTGGGTTGAATGAGGTTTCAGTGGGTCCCGAGCAGTCTTACTCATACTCTGGGCCTGCACTCTGGGCCTGTGCTCTGGGTCTATTTAGGATCCGGGCGGCCCCGGACAATCTCACTCACATGCCAAGCCTGCACTCTGGGTCTATTCGGGATCTGTGTCCCCAGGGGCAGTCTCAGCAGCATTACTTTTGCTCTGAGTGCTCAACAAAGAAACAGTCAAGAAGAGGGAAAACACAATGCACCTAACTCTCCTGGCTTTAGTGGCCAAGATTAAATAAACCATCAGAGCTTATTCTCAGAAACCCTAAAGCCCTCTATGCCCTGCCTTGGAGGCTTTCTTCAAGAGTCAGTGGGGGGCCTTAGGGCTCTACCAGCCCTCTGGGGAGGCCTTGAGGAGGGAGTGCTGGGTTGCAGGGTGGGGACTGGAATGTCCCTTTGCCTGCTGCAGCATGTACATGCTAGCCTTTGCAGAAACAAGTGATGGGGCAAGTGTGCTCTTAATCTCTGTTTTAATGTCTCCAACCATCTCATGGTTAATTAGCAATTTGCTGCCCACCGATATGCAAATGAATGACAAGCAAAGGTTCTCTGCATCTGAAATTGTTTTGGTGATTTACGAGACATTTTCTTCTCCGTAGATTTTTCTGTGTGTGCATTCACGCATCAGAGGTTTCATTATTTTTAGAAGCATTCTCTGTGCATTTTTATGCATTAATAGAAGAGTTCAGTAATTAAAGTATTCTGGAAAAATACACATTTGCATTCCCTTCCCCCAACTCCAAACACATCAGTCTGTTGTTTTTATTGTTTTTGTTTCGTGGATTTTTTGTTTCTTGGGATTTTTTTCATATAAAAAGTGGAGAGATTTATCAAGGACCTGTAATCCAAATTACAGAGTGGTAAAGCACAAGATTGAAAGACACACATGTCTGCTGCTGCCAAACTCTTATTGGAATCAGAGTCTCGTAATATTTGATTTTCTCCCAAGCAGCTCTGGCGAGTCAAGCCACGATCTGCGTTATCCATCTGCCTAGTTTGGAGCGAGGTGTTTTACTATTTGGCAGTTTAAACGCTTTACTTTTTTTTTTTTTTTGCCAGGGCATTAAGAAAGGCTCTCATGTTAAATTAAGTCAATTAATAAATGGAGACACATTAAGCAATCAATTTTGTCAGCCTATCTCTCTAACATTATGTATGGTTGGCTGTAATCACAAGATAAATGCAATGTGCTGATCTATGGTAATGTTCAATAATACATTCTCCGTCAGGCTCAATTCATCAGGGAGTTTCGGTAGGGGAGGCATTTGTTATTGGCTGTCTCTGCGCCTCAAGGATAACATTTCTGTCCTTTTGATTGGCTGCCTCACTGCTGCAAGATTCTAACCGTCTTATTTTGATGATGAATATGAAGGCACGCTAAGCCGGGCTGGAGCGGAGTGTCTCAGAGGCTGCACTCCTCCCAAGCCCAAGGACTTACAGCTTCCTTCACTGCCTTCCGAGCCAACACCCCCACCCCCAAAAGTTGTGATGCTTTTCTTTACTCAGTGCTTTGGGGCTGTGCTGGATCTCATTCACCTCCGCTTTCAACATTACAAGGCTAAGCGGGTTTTCTCTGCGGCTGGGCAACTTGTCTGTGTAGTCAACCCCACACACAACCTAAAGGTGAGTGGCTGTCTTTCTGCATCTTACGTTCATTCCACTCCGGTTCTAGTTCCTTCTCAGAGGTGTCAGTCACCCTTCAGTAGGCATACGGAGCTCCTGAAAACACTGGTTTGCTCTTGGGAGGCTAGAGTAGTAGCTGGGGGTGTTTGCCTTGGCTCATGCTCCCTCTCCAGGTGGCTTGGTGCTCCTGGTGACAGTGTGCTGCTTCCCTGACTGGCAGGAAACACAGAAGTGAGGGGCCAGTGTCTTCCCCGCTGTTAGCCTGAGTGGGCGGGGGATGGAAGCCAGGTGATGGGTGGGGGAGTGTCCTACCTCTCTCCCAAATATTTGTTTGCAAGTGCTCAGAAGACACGAGTTTAAAGTTACCCAGATTGCTGTCTGCCCATGTGTTGAGAAAGGCAGCTGAGTGCAAGAATTTTGGAAGTCCCTCTGGCTAAAGCAGAAGTAGCTGGGGGGCAGAGGCAAGGGGGTACTTTCTGCAAAAATAGCCTTGACTATGGGGCTGTGTGTGTGTGTATGTGAGTGTGATGTGTGTGGCACCGAGAGGAGTTTGGCTTATTCCTTCCTGCCAGCTAGATGTGCGCTTTCTACGGTGCACAAGAGGAGGAGGGCTGTGCTTCAATTGTATAATACTGAAAGCAGCCTGGAGCCTCTGCTGCCGGCAGCCCTGCAGGCGACTGGCGCGGAGTTGTCTGTGACTGCCTGGCTGCCGCGTCTGTGCTGGTGCCTTTAGGTCACTGCTCTTTAAGCCAAAATCCAGAAAATGAAGTCTAGAGGATGGCCACTGGCATGGCAGCCAAGACTGAGGTGTGAAGGCACCACCTGTGAGGCATGTGGGGAAGACAGTGCGCAAGGGCTGGTGGAGGACCTAGTTGCAAAACTCTGAGTCACTTGGCCATGGTTTAAAATAGAAGGAGATGCTGCAAGGAGTTGCACTCCTCAGTGTACTGGAGGTGGAGGACGGAGGGTGGCTGTGTCTGCAACAGGACAACCACCCATCTCTGCAAAGAGCTCGGACGGTTGGCCAGTGCAGTGTGTTGCTTGTCACTTTACCGACTCACCAGTCAGATTGTCCTCAGCAGGAGCCCTGCAAGTCAGTGATGATGGCTGGGTCCCCACCTCCCATTCCTTGAAGTCTCTAGGAAGTGCCTGGAGCTCCTGAGGTCATATGCCAAGGCTAGTGCCAAGTGCAGTATATGAACTGTACCATGTCCCTGGACCTTGCTCTTTCTAGGACCAGGCTTTCTGCAGGCCCTGCACTTGTGACTAATACCATCTCACTGAACCATTCACACTCACTCACCCTCTCTAACTGTCTGTGTCTCTCTCTGTCTGTCTGTCTTTGCTCTCATCCCACTATTTCTTTCTTCCTTTATGACTCAGTTTCCTCAGTGAGACTCCTCTACCAGTCATCTGTGACAAAGCAATGTACAGTACACATATTAAAATACAATACTGAATTCCATTTTATAGCCCTTTCAAGGCTGCAGGTGAACTCTCATTATTTTGTCACTTTACATTAGTTAGTTCCCTGTGGCAAGAAATTTTGTTTACTTCTGCTTTGCATTTCAATACTTTCAAAATTGTTTGTGAGACTTAGCATTTCTGAAGTTTGAGTTTGTGTAGTTCACTGACGGTAGCCAATGACGGGGAAGATGTAGGTGCAGAGGCCCAGGTGTAGGGCACAGGGAAAGGAGCTATGTGTATTTCTCAGCAATGTCTGCTTGGTACTAGTCCTGCTGCCCCGTCCAGGAGTCCTGCGTCAGTGCTGGACACCCTGTGCTAGCGCTGCTCAGCTGTCTGGGCTGTACCTTCCTGAGCTGTCCCTTCCTCTGCCTGCTTCCTCCACAGCCCTGCAAGACTGCCAGAAGACATTAGGTGGCTGTGCTTTGGGACACTCTCCTCTTTTCAGAAAAGTGTGTTTTGTGATACAATATTTAGGAATTTCAAAAGTTGTCACTTAAAGTCTTTAAGCAAATCAAAAATCTTATAAGCAAGATCATAAAAATGGGTGACACATGCTTTAAGAGGCTGTTTTCCACGGTTCACTGTTTCATATGCACTGTCATTTGGCTGTTCATTTCCCATAAAAACCACTTCAGGGTTTTGCTCACAGGAGCCTTGCTGCAGGTAAACAAAGCGTGCGAAGTGCTGCGAAGGCTACCAGAACCTGGGGCACAGTGCACAGGATGTAGGGCTGCTTCCAGGCTGCTGGACTGCTGCTCTGGGGCTCTCCACCAGCACCAGGCACTGTGCACTCTTCTAGGTCCAGGCAGCTGGAGGGAGAGTAAATTTACCCACGTGTGACACCCAAAGATGTGCAGCCTTTTGCAGGGTGTCTAAAGGAACAACCATCTAGAAGAATTACTGCCCATGCTTAGATTAAAAAGTACACAAAAGCTCAAAAACAGTTCTCTAAACCTGACTTCCATAAGTAGATTGTGGAAATGTACCTTCTGTGCAGTAAGCTGTGGTTTAGGGTTTTTCTAAGTTCTTTTCTTTTAAAGAAAAAACAGAAAGCTGTGGTGGCGTTCACCTAGAAGGGCTATCGATCTGCGGTGCTTCCCTGCGCTTTGTATGACAGGCTGGTACAGGAAATGGTGAGCAAGGACAGAGAGACTGCAACTTGGTTTTCAATTTTCTGAGTTGCATGTTGGTACAAAGAAGGCTGGGAAGGCTGTGCTTTCTTCGTGGAAGCATTTTTAGACTTTTCTACTTTATCCTGGCTCTTCCTGAGAATTCTAACAGCATTTAAAGACCTGAGGCAAGTGCTGAGTTATAATCAAAATTCACTTTCTGGAAAGAGAAATCCTACATTTACCATAGGTCACCTCCATTCCTAGTCTTATTATGGTGATTACTCAGTAACCTGGGATTCCTTCAAGCTTGATAGCCTGCCTTCTACACAGAAGGCAGCACCTCATGCATCCTGCAGATATCCTGGTTAGATACATTGCACACTAAGCCTGTCCTAATTAAAGAGGTCTTTTAAAGCAGCTGGCCTTGAGCATGAGAGACCTCAACTTTAAGTAAGGTGGTCCCAGTGGGTCTGTGGTGCCCCAGAAGGTGGAGCAAATAAGGCAGTGTTTCCCCGTATCTGTTTGCTTCTGCCTGTCAGCATCGCTCCTTGCACAGAACAGGGTTCCAAATGATGCCCCCACTTCTCTTTCCTGGCCCAAGCAGCCCGCTCTTTTGGCAGACTTCCCGCTGCTTCTTTATTCTCAGAGGCTATTGCAAAGCGGGAGCCAGCTTCAGACTCCCACACCCGAGGCTGTGGTGCCTGGTCCTGATTCAGCACTCCTTCCTCCCTTGCGTCCTTTGCCCCTTTCCAAATCTAGAAGCCCTTCTCTCCTGGCTGCTCTCCCAGAGGCCCCAGCTGCCCTGGTAGCCTTGCCTGCTACCTCATCCACAGACGTGCCCTTTACAGAGTGGGATGGTTGGTGGGACAGTGCAGCCAGGCTGCTCCAGGTCACAGTCTGCAGCACCCGCCCCAACCCACTGAGGTCAGTCTCCAGCACTTCTCAAGTGGATAGCAATGGCCAACCTGAGGGGGCTGGAAGTCTTCCTGCTCTTAACCACAGGCTCTGAGAAACAAGTTTCTGAAAAAAGACTAGCAAGGTGATTTCTGGCAAACTTCTGAATGGTTCTCTCTGATCCCAGTGCCAGCCCACCCCACTCTCCCCACGCTCTCCTCTGCATCCAAACCTGGCAGCACAAATCTCTCCACCTCCCTGAGGACGAAAGACTATTCCTGCCTCCAGCCAGCCAGGTGCCTGCAGATTTTGTCAGTTGTAATCCATTAACCTTGGGATTATCCTCAGAAACACACACACACACACACACACACACACACACACACACACACAGAATGGAAGGGACTATTGCACATTGTGGTTGAAGTGTCTGGCAGATACCGAATCTGAAAGGGGGCATTTCAGTGCTGTTCCTTGCAGCAGCTGTGTGCCTGTGTGAATGAATATGTGTGGAACGAGGTGGGGAGTGGGCAGCTACACGGAAGGGAGGTTCAGGATGTCTCAAAGGACAGAACGGAAGAGAGGCGAAGTGCACAGTAAAGACAAACATCATCTCTGCCATTTGTGGGGGAATTTTGGAAAGCCTGAGCCACTCTGGGACTTTGCTAACTGCTTGACACGGCACAGCAAGTGGCAAGTGAGCAAAGACCTAAGCCGAGCTTTTAGAGACTCAGAGGCAGCCTTTGGAGTGTTCAGCACAAATGCCAGCTTTAAAGCAGTCCAAGGCTTCTGACAGTGTTGGTTAATAGCTGGTGTGTGGGTTCCCCAGTTCCTCCACACACAGCCACATCCTCAGGTGCCACTCCCTTTCCTGGGAATGTTTCACCCTCATCTTCCTTTGCCCAGCCTGGAGCCTCCTCCCTGCTCATTAGCACCTGAGAAGGGATGGGGTGGGTGGGCGGAGGGAGGAGGGGAGGGCTCCAGGCTGATGGTCCGCACTCCGTGAGCTTCCCTCTGCAGCCTCTGCAGCCTCTTCCACACCCTTGGCCTCAAGGATATTGCATGACACTTGACTCTATTGGGCACAGAGCAGGCACACAGCTTTGCTGGTTAATGATGATTGCAAATGAGGCTCCTGGGCCGCATAACAGGAGGCTCCAGCCCGGAGCAATAATTTGGTTAGCTGTGTGCAAGTGATTGAGTTGCAGAAGAAGCCGAAGTGGGCAGCCATGCGGAGGGGAGCTCATTACCTCCAGGCTGCATTTATCCAGCACCCCAAGCACATTGTGTGGCATTCCTTTCACCACAATCCCCAGCCTGCAGGGACTGTTGGGGAGATTTGGACACTGACACTGAAAACTTCCTTCAAAACCCGCAGAGAGGTCAGAGTGACTTGGACAGCTTCCCTGGGATGAGGCAGGGTATTTTTCTAGCAATTGACAGTAAGGAGAAAAAGCAAGTGTCCGTGAAGGTGTTTGCCTTAATGTCACTTTGGCTTGCCCAGCTCTGCTTCCTAATGAGCACAAT